ATGTCCGCTTGTTTGGTGTTAAATTTAAAGAGATTTGCTTTGTGATAATAAGAAGCAGTCTACATTCGTTCATGTAAAATGTTGTTTTAACAGTGTTTCAAATTTTGACAAAATATTTTGAGGCGGGTTGAGGGGACGCAATTTTTGTGATTATTCATTTTTATTACATTGGTTGCAATGAATTACTGTGATTTCCCAGTGAAATAAAAACCGATAATTTCACACACTCCTCTGACGTCATACAACAATATGTGTTGTCAAGACGTTGTCGATGACGTCGCATCAAAGCAAATTGTGAATGCGTAGGGAAAGATATAGTTCCTTGCATTTTCTACTTTAATTCCATTAAAAATTCCATTGTCAATGTAATAAAAAGAATAACTAATCAAAGAATTCAAATATCGAAAATATGTCATATTCCTGACTTGTTACAAGCATTTTCTTATGTAGAAAATGGTGGATTGAACCTGGTTTTATAGCGCTAAACCTCTCAATTGTACGACAGTCGCATCAAATTCCATTATATTGATAACGATGCGTGAACAAAATGTCACAAATACGGGTACTACAACAACAACACGAACCCCACCAAAAACTGGGGTTGATTTCAGGTGCTCCGGAAGGGTAAGCAGATCCTGCTCCACATGTGGCACCCGTCGTATTCATGTTATTATAAAGCCGGTAAATAGTCTAATTCGGTAGGTCACATTCGTGAAAAGGGAACGGGATAGTAGTTACGACATAAGGAACATATCCGATATCATCTGTATAACGGATATTCCATAACGGTCAACCAACTCGTGATTGTGTTCGTAAAATTTACGAAGTGATGATTTCAACTTCACCATTTGAAACTTTTGGTTTAAAAATGAAAAGGTCACAATTGGGAAGCAAAATCAAAACGGATATTCCATAACGGTCAACCAACTCGTGATGGCATCTGTAAAATTTTCGAAGGGATGACCTCAATTTCACCACTTGGAACCCTTAGTGTAATAGCTTCCTTGTAAGCAGTAGCCCTCTATCAAGATAATCATAATAGGAAATGCAACCCACTGGCATATCGTATTAACTGGGAGATATATAGTCAATATACAGCCGCTGCTTGAATGTTGTTATGTAGAAATGGTTAGTTCACAATGGGGAGGCTGAAATCATCTCTTTTGTCGTAACGTTTTGTTCTCATCCGACCCTCGTTGTCAATTTTTAGATGTAAGTCAAGATATGAAGCCGACCTAACGGTATATGTTGTATCCATTATTTTAAATTCGATGGCATTGATGCGTTCAACATTCCTAACTTTTATCATTTAGTGAGAGGACAGCATCTTTATAGGGGAACGTGAAGTTAAAGGATAGCTTCCTTTCATTCTTTCTATGAAGTTCCTGTATGAAGTCTGCCTCATATGAATAAAAGTACACGTAGGCAAGTAGAGGAGGACAGTTGGTCCGCAGGGGAATGGTGACTATTTGCTGAAAAAAAAGTCCTCCAAACATAAAAAATATGTTATCAATTAAAAAATCAAGCATCTTTATAATGTCAGTTTTTTTCATCAGAGTATTTTTTCATAAGTCTGATTTATCTCTCCATAAAACAATATATTTGTATCTACGTTGGCAATTCTTTTTGATGAAACATAGTAGGACAAAGTCTTTTAATTGGTAATCATAAGAAATAAAATGAATAAACAATATAAAAAACGGTGCAATAAATGCCTATAATATTCGAAATCAAGGAAAAGGAAAAGAATTAAACAATTTAAATAGTCATTTGAATGCAAATATATATTTATTAATTCCATTTAGTGATTATTGTTTTTAAACTTTGAAATATGCATTATCTGACTTATATACCGTCAAAATAATATTATTTTCAGCAAAGATTTGCAGGATTTGCATCCTATTTTACCGACCACACTAAAGTGGGATATTCTTTTCGTGTGCGTTCAGGTTTTGATACGCCCTACGGCTCATTTATAATGTGAAATAAAACTCACTAATTAATCTGGATATGTAAACTTTAGAAATCATTATCTAGTTACAATAAAAACATTACTGTAACTGCAGAAAGCAAGAAACGAATGAATTGTTAAGGTGTATGAAAAATACAAGTCACTTTGTAAGTAATTTATTGTATCAACTTAGTTTATGAAAGGGGATGCTATGTTTTCTTCATCTTTTTGTCATGACATTTTTATCGCGGAAAAGCAGATTATTTTTTCAACAATTTTAACGAACTATTCAGAACAATTGTTTTCTTTGTTTAGTCTGGCAATACCATTTTTTTTAAAGCTGAGAATCAGCATTAAATATTATGCTTCCACCACCCACCCATTTTAAAGTACGTGACTGTTATTCTACAGAAAATAAGAACATTTGGTCATTTGATCATTTGATAGATGAAAAAAGTTAAGAACAAACACGAAGAAAGCACGAACTCGTGATACATGTTACACGAAAAACGGACATCCATAGGTCAAAGTATCATATCCAATAATGAGATTTTCAAAATCCTAAACACGAATGTGTTAATTCTGACTTGTTTTAAAAGTGTTGTATTATTAAATTCATCTCACATAATGTCCCTTTATCGTAGCGATAAATAATTAAAAAAAATACATTATTTGTTCGAAAGTTAAAATGTTTTTTTTGGGTATTTCAGTCTAATAAACGGAGGAAAGGATTGTATCTGCCTAAACCCCATCAAAGATGGAAAATTAAAAAAGGTAAAACCCCAATTGGCAACGATAACTATCAAACGAATTAAATGTTTAAGTAAATTATAGTTTCATTTTAATCAGAGAAATAATGACCTTACCCAAGTCATTATTTTATGCATTGAAGCAAATTTCATTGAAATTTGGTATCGTCCGGGTTGATTCTTCAAAATAAAGACCTATCGCTCTGAAAGAAAATAACTCTATATAGGTATTTAGAACATACTCACCCCTTCTCGTCCAATGGAAAGTCAGTTTTTTTCCTTCTAATTTTCATAGTACATGGCTTTCCATGCACTATAAAATACTATACATTAATGACTTTTCATTGTAGATTAATTATGAAAGTGAACTCTTAATAACTACACTAATGAAGTGTACAATCCCCTGATGCATTTTCCTTAGGAAAACAGCCTACTGATTAAAAGATGAAAGATATATCGATATGCATGTCTGCTGTTAATGTATACTACATGGCATTTGACCAACCTTTTTGGGAACTTGTTTTACTTGATTGGAACAATGCGAATAAAGTATTTCTAATGTATTCGACAAAGTAGAGGTTGGTCACAAGATTTACGAATGGACATATCACTATTTTTTCATTTTTTAATGGTTATACAAAACCTGTTAATGTTGTTGGTTGTTTAAACATTGCAATTTCCAGAAAAAAACGCTACCAGTTTTAATGCACAATATTCTTAACTTGACAAGCTCTCTCGATGCTTAAGATAATGTTCGTGACTTTCTAAACAATATCAAATAAAGCTTGAAGAGATGGAAACATTCATAAGAAACAAAAGGTCGATCCGAATCTGGTAAATCGGGGTGAAAATGGCAATGCACAAGGCAACCGAATTGAAAAACCTAGAACTATTTGAGAATAACTGAAATAAAAATAACGCCCCAACTTAACCTAAACATTTGAAATCCAGAGATGAGATGAAAATATACGTAGATACGGTAAGAGCTATACATGGCTAAAAAGAATCTAAAAAGAATAGCCGAATTAATCTAAGGTCAGTTTTGCCTGAGGCAGTAGAATCTTATTTTCTAAATCGGAAATTTGAAAAATGTATGTTTTAAATCATGTCTGTACCGAATCATGAACTACTTGGTTGATGATACCCTCGGGGACGACTTATAATCCAACAGAAGAGGTATCGATACAGTGTTAGTGAACGAAAATAACACATAATAAATTTCGTGAGTCTAAAGCGATTTCTGGATTCATTTTCACAAGTAAATGATGAAAAATACTTAGATGTTTGCTCTTCTGTTGTGATCTAATGATCATTGACATTTCCCAACTCATTCCGTATTCAAGAGCTTACAGCTTCTACCCGGACTCTATAAAACGTCACCAGTGTCTGAGCAGAAAGTTGATGAATCAGGGTTATGTCAAAGAACGTCTCGTCCTTTTTTCTAAAAAAAGTTCATCGGAAGATACCAAGACCTTGTTGTTAAATATTCCGTATCAGCTTCACAAATGATACATGATGGTCTTGAAGTATAGATTCTAGGTACTGACGTTGTTTGTCATCTTAATAACGTGTTATAGTGTTCTTTTATTTGTCTTTGTAAATTATTAACCTTAATAAAGTTTACTGTTTAGTCCATTTTGGTGATATCCTTTTGGGTTGGCTCGGTACTTATGCATCCCGCCAATGTGTTTTTGTGCTGTAGTCACTTTTTGTATTCTTGTCTTTAATTTTTGCTTTTGTGCTTTGTCTGTATGCCATTTTGTTTTTCTTTGTTGACAAATTTGTTTGTTTTATAGTGATTAAGATTATAACACAATGTTGACTGCTGTACCCCTAATTTTTCACATTTTTACCTATCATGTCTGTTTGTTTTGTTCACACATTGTTGTCAATAAAATGGAATTTTATGCAACTGTCATACAAGTGAGATGTTTATCTAGCTATAAAACCAGGTTTAATCCACCATGTTCTATATAAGGAAATGCCTGTATTCCTAGTCAGGAATATGACAGTTGTTTCCATTCCTTTGATGTGTTTGAGCTTTTGATTTTGCCATTTGATAAGGGACTTTCCGATTTGAATTTTCCTTTGAGTTCGGTATTTTTGTTATTTACTTTTTTCTGTATGGAAACTGGTTATTCATAATCAGAGATCAACCTCAGATATTTGCATAATAAAACAAAATGTTAGTCTTAAAGGGGCATTAGCCCACCGAATTAATTCAAACTTTTCCATTTGATTTAAGAATTACTATAATAGTAATTCAGAATTACAGAATTTCCATAGAAAACAACACACAATGTCGTTATATAGTATTTCGTGTATTCTTGACTGGACATTATCTAAATAACTACCGACATGACCCGCGAAAACTGGCAATGGGCATGCCACCACTTTATATAGATATAAGCATACAAGTAAACATAAAATAAAAAAAGATAGGTTAGCACGTGCAACAGTATAATTTCGATTTCTGAGTTCTGTTCAATCTCATTTCATGGATAAAAACATATATAAATTGAATATAAATCATTTACTCATAACTTTTATAAGAACGATTTTCTTAGGTAGAATCAATCAACGAGATCAGACTTCCTACTGCTGCCTTTCCTAGTTTCACCTATTCAGCTGACATTCGTTTTAATCCCTGTACATGTTGAGCGCATGCGTAACCCATTTCCAACAAAGGTTAGATTGCAGGTCGCATGAATACGGATTCAAATGAGGTTAAATTTTTGACTTTGAAGCCAATAATACAACAGCGATGTTTTAGAGCTTATTTTGTAAAGTAAGTGGTAACTGTGGTAACAGAGAAATATCATTTTACACTTGTGAATGTTGGAAACAAATAAAAAACGTATTTTCTTGTTTGTCTAAATCGTAGCTAAACACCATTCAAGTGGAATGCTTTCATTACCATTTTTAAACATTGTATAAATTATCCATGCCGTATTCTTTGAGAATTGTGATCCATCTTTCATGCAGTTCGCCTTTAGATGTGTTCCAGTATTTCCATAGAAGAGGTTTATACCTGTCGACGTAAGATGATACATATTTGTTATCAGGGTCCATTGTGAGAGTATACCCTGACATAACTACAACATGTGCTATTCTACAACAGATTAATGTCCTCAGAATATCTATTTCCACGGCTGTTAGTTTACTCTCAGTCAGATAACCTGCTAAGATATGTCCTCCTGCATCTAGTGAATCCATGCATTTACATTCGGTAGACATGTGTGTTATCAAAATCGCTATGTCAGTTATTGTGTAACTGTTATGCATGTCGAAAAAGTCAATAATACCGATAACATCGCAAGTTCGTTTTTCCTGTGGAACGCTGGATTGATCACCAAGCTCTTTGACAAGAATGTTGTTTTCATTAAGGTCACCGTGAATGAGTACTAAAAAACATAAGAATATATTTTAATTAAATGCAAAAAATCAGTTCTTTTTATTCATTTATACTAGGGATGTCAACGAGTACTCGAGTACTCGAGTGTCGCATACCAAAACGATACTCGATTAATCGGTTTCCTGTAAGAATATTGCTGTCTTCTTTATATAAAATTGATCTTCTTGAGAACCTCTTTCGGAAAATTAAATAGGCATCACTGATTAATCATTCTAGTAAATAAAATACATTTTGCTTTGAATGATTGTGCTAAATTGTAATTTAAAATGCCACCGAAAATACGTGGGCTATACCTAGGCTTACACTTAGATAAATTAAACATGTCCTAGCCATTCCGTCACATCGGTACCGTCAGAGCAAATATTTTCGTCTGCAAGACTGTTAGTTATAAAGTTGCAAAACCGACTGTCCCTAATAATAGTTGAAAAGAATATGCTTCCAAATAAAATAAATTCGTTGCATCCTCTGGTTACTCTCAGTGAATAGTTAAACTTTTAACCCTAACGCCTTTGTAAACATTAAATGTGTTTTCTTAACGATTACCAAATACTCTTGTTTGACATGATTTTTCCTTGTTATAATTTTCAAATAAGTGTTCATTAAATTATATTGATTAGTTTATTGTTTTTTATTTAATTAGTACCTGAAGGTAATGAGCTATTAATTATGGTGTGTAATACCTTGTCCCAAATACTTATGCAGATGGTTTATCGTCCGTTGAACAACAAACCAGAGAATGTAAAATACGTATGTTGTTTCAGTGTTGAAGATATATTCCAAAGCGAGTACTCGAGTATCGCTCGATAAAACCAACGAGTACTCGATTAGTAATTTTTCCCCGCATTGGCATCCCTAATTTATACATTCATTGTTCTTTCGTTGTTTTTACTTATTATGTCTGTTTGTTTTGCTCACACATTGTTGTCAATTTAAAGGAATTTTACGCGACTGTCATACAAGTGAGAGGTTCAGCTAGAAATAAAATAGGTTTAATCCACTATTTTCTACATAAGGAAATGCCGGTACCAAGTCAGGAATATGACAGTTGTTTTCCATTCGTTTGATGTGTTTGAGCTTTTGATTTTGCCATTTGTTAAGGAACTTTCCGTTTCGAAATTTCTTTGGAATTCGGTATTTTTGTTATTTTACTTTCTGCTTAATTTATAGACATTTGCATGATGAGAAAGTATAGACGTCAGGTGACATAGATAGTTAACCACTACATTTAAACCGTTAAAACAGGACACCCCTGTTCATTTCTTGGCATCCACATATCTTTGTGAGCATGTCTTCATAGTAATTATAAGCTATTATTTCGTGCAGGTACCAGCATCTGTTTTTAGAAATGTAAAATTAAAATCCATTTCATTGTATTCTTTCCACTAGTTTTCTAGTATGGTCAAACTTAAAGATAAACTGTTTACAAAACTTTGAATTTTACGAAATACTTAGGATTTCCGTCCCAGGTATAGATTACTTTAGATGTATTTAGCAAAACCTTTCAAAATTTTAAGTCATCAATGCTCTTCAACTTTGTACTTTTTGGCCTTTTTAACTTTTTTGATTCGATTGAGTCTTTTGTAGAGGAAACACGCGTCTGCCGTACAAAATTTGAAGCCTGGTATCTATGTTGAGTTTATCTAGCAATTAGAGCATTTGTAATCAAAATGACTTTTTACTGAAGTATATCGGAAATACGCCAAAAAATTAGAAATAATACAGCAGTTCAGGTATATCATAAAATTCAGAGATAAGCAACAAAACATGGAAATGCAATGAAAGGGGCTTCAAGAAAATAAGTTGTATAATGTTTTTTTTATATTTAACTGATTCGGCCTTATTTCAGGGATTTCCGACATTTGTTTCCAAATGGTAAAATTAAAAGTCTTAGTCTCTGATGCATGATTGTTTATTATTAATTGTGTTTGGCTTTTAACTAGCTGGCAGTAACTGCGAGTACTCTCAAAGCGTACTTTCTTGTTTATGACCTGTTGATACTAATTGTAATGCTTTTTTGTTATTTAATGTTATACAGGGTTATATCTGGTCTATATACCAGCTTTGATAAGTGTTTGGTATTACTATAAATTTTCACTTCTTCGAACTATGAACATCAAAATTATTTATTTTGTAAAAATATTTCCTTTCTCTATCTGAACTGTACACGTATACCTAACAACAAAATTATTTTCATTTACCTGTGTTTAAAGTAATTGCAAATGGCTGATATTTTTGTTCAAGTATGTTGTTTTTCTTAAATTATTTAACATTTCACAGCGGTATAACATGTTACTTTAATTATTCTTCCCTTAGTTTATTCATTTTGTATTTGCATTGTATCATAGATCAAATTTATTTGTTCAGTGTATGTTCACCGGTGTTAATATGTCTTTTGATTGAGTTAAGCCATTTCAATTGATATTTTATAGTGTGTTTTTCTATGTTGTGATGTTACACTATTGTTTTAGATAAGGGTGAAGGTTTGGTACCATTAAAACGTTTAAACCCGCTGCAATTGTTTGCACCTGTCCTAAGTCAGGAATCTGATGTTCAGTAGTTGTCGTTTGTTGATGTGGTTCATAAGTGTTTCTCGTTTCTCGTTTTTTATATAGATTAGACCGTTGGTTTTCCCGTTTGAATGGTTTTACACTAGTAATTTTTGGGGCCCTTTATAGCCTGCTGTTCGGTGTCAGCCAAGGCTCCGTGTTGAAGACCGTACTTTGACCTATAATGGTTTACTTTTATAAATTTTGACTTGGATGGAGGATTGTCTCATTGGCACTCATACCACATCTTCTTTTATCTTATTAGTAATACGTTACAAAAATTAAAAAAAAAAGCTTTTATCTTAATTGCATTTTATTATCATTAACGTAAATGTCAAGTGCACTTGTCTGTTAGAAAAACTGAACTATCTGATGGAGTTTTACCTTTCCTTAACTGGCCCAACACTGGTTTCACTTCTTTGATATATTCTTTTATGATAACATTTACAAGTTGCGCATATTCCTTGCTTTTCAAAGCAAACACGAAATCTAAAATTCGAGGACATTCTGCCAAATTCCATTGGCAAACTCTTTCTCTTAGAAAAGCATTATCAAAATCCTGAGAAATAGATAAAATTACGGTTAAGAATTGCATAAATCATTTTTTCTCTGATATTTCCATCCATTGGCCATTCTTTCCTGAAGTGCAGTTTTTCAGTCGAATATAACATGAGAATAAATGGCATCTTTTAAAATAAATATATAATATATCAAATGAGGAGTTTTTGATTATTATCTTGAAAACTATACTGATAGATGTATAATAGAAATCATCAACAGAAATTGTAAAAGCAAAATTGTTAAGCAAAAGAAGATCTACAAATTAATAAGCCAACATGGTAAAATCATCAATTAAACCCTTATAGGAGTTATTGCCCTTGAGGATGTTTTACCATTTTTAGAGAAACCATAATAGATAGAAACAGAAATAGCACAAATATTAAAGCAAAGGGGATTTACAAATAAGGAAATTGTAAATTGACCCCTTATAGGAAAGATCTTTTTTATCCATTTTGTGCATCTTTGCAGAAACCAAAAAAGATGGAGAAATTGTAAATATCAAAGATGTTCAGCACAATAAGATACACAAATAAGTCAGCATAGCCTAAATTGTCAGCTGACTCCTTATAGGAGTTATTGTCCATTTTCATACATTTAGTTTATGTTCCAAGCTGAAATTGTGTTTACTATGATACAATTCTGCTCTCTTTCTGGTAACATATCGTATATGTAGTTATATTTAATATCGTTAATGTTATATACCTCTAGAGCATTCTGTAGTCTACCAGCAAACTTTCCTATGTTGAATAAAGTCACTGGAACATAGGGCTTAGTAATAGCTATTTCTCCTTCCATGTATTTCATCATATGGAAAATGTATCGGCTGTTAATTTCTATAAAACAATATCATTGTATTAAAAAAGGATTTGTGTTGCTTCTCATAGCCCCTCGCGAAATTCTAGTTAATATCTTTGGCTTTCAAATTTAGGGAGTTTTGCTTTTCTTATGAAGGTAAATCCGAAAAAGCGCTTCGGACACACCCAAATTATTTAGTGTTATCTACATTTTGAAACAATAATTATATAATAAAACGGACGTTTTAAAAAACATGAATTGGTCTAGTTGTACTCATAAATTTACAATTGAGTCTGTAGGTTATTATTTTGTAAAGTAGCAGTGTTTTGTTCTTATGTTGTGCTGTAACACCACTGTCCCAGGTAAAGGGAGGGTTGAGCGCTCACAAACATGTTTAACCCTGTCACATTCTTGATGTGCTTGTCGCAAGTCAGGAACATATAATTCGGTGATTGTCGATCATAGTTCATGTCCTTCATCTGACTATATACGGTATGGGTTTTTCTCATTGATGAAGGCCGTATGGTGACCTAAAATTTATCTTCGTTATTTGAACTCTGGTGGAAAGTTGTCTCATTGCCAAGCATACTATATCTCCTTATTTTAATATTATACTATATAAAACAACCTTGATATTAGGTAAATTGAAAGCAGACATTAAGTCAGGAGCCTGTAATTCAGTGGTTGTCGTTTGTTTATGTGTTACATATTTGTTATTCGTTCATTTTTTGTACATAAATTAGGCCGTTAGTTTTCTCGTTTGAATTGTTTTACATTGTCATTTCGAGGCCTTTTATAGCTGACTGTGCGGTATGGACTTTGCTCATTGTTGAAGGCCGTACGGTGACCTATAGTTGTTAATTTCTGTGTCATTTGGTCTCTTGTGGAGAGTTGTCTCATTGGCAATCATACCACATCTTCTTTTTTATATTAACTATCTTTCAATATACATGTACTTATATAAAATCTAGTTCTTTGACGTAATGATGACATTAAAATTACAAATAAAACTAAACCAGTATCTGATCGTTATATCAAATTTTTATAATCACTCTCTTCTTTTTATTAACAAAATTAACATATTCTATTACGACTTTTCCTTTATGGTAGTGTTTTGTAACTTAAAGGTTCTTTCAATTGTTACCATTAGATTTATTAGTAACACCCTGCAGTGACCACATTCTTCCTTCTACATTCTGTACAACTTCTTGCGCAGGAATGTTCTTCCTCCGTAAATGTTCTAAGATTGAATGTTGTGCTTCTGTAATAATAAGAATTATACATTTTTCGTATTGTTCAACTTGTATACCGTATGTTTGTCTCATGCATAAACCAAATAGTAAAATAAATACGCTTTTCTTAAATTGGTTTTTTTTGTCATTTCATTTGTCATGTTCTTTTTCTCTGTATTTTTGTTTAGGGCCTCTTGTTCATCTACAACTATCCCTAGCCTATCAACGCTGAGGTTGTGAGTTCGAACCCCGCCTCGGTTTTCCTGCCGAAGTTCGGCGGTTCTCTCCGGGTACTACGGCTTCCTCTACCAATACAAATGGTCCGCCATAATATAGCCACGTGTTCTGAAAGGTAAACACCACCAGTCAATCATTGTGTATTACACTAATCGAGAAAAAAAGACAGAAAATGGTTGAGTTTTGAAAACACTTATTGAACATCGGATTATTGATACATCTTGGACCTGCAATCTACAAACCGTATTATCGACCCAGTTGTGGTAATAAAATATTACGCATAATTATAAAGATCATATAGATATAGGGGAAAAAATAACTTAATAAACAAGAAAAACGATTACAAAATCAATATGAAACCTCAAATTTAGCTCCGTCGAAAGAGAATAAATATTCAAAGAGTGATATGCTTGCTTAAAAGGGAGCTATTTAAATCATTGGTTCCAATGCATGTGGTGAAGTTGAAGTCATCCCTATGCCTTCTTTACAGACGCCATCACGAGTCGGTTGACCATTGTGGAATATTTGTTTCAATTATGACGACGGGTATGTTCCAATTATCGTAACCACTATCCAATCCTCTTTTCCTCGAAATTTAATTATAGACTTATCACCGAATTTGTACCTAACACGAGCAACACGAAGAGTGCCACATGAGGAACAGGATCTACAGAGCACCTGCGATCACCCCCCGATTTTGGTGAAGTTCATGTTGCTCAGTCTTCAGTTTTCTATGCTGTGTTGTGTAAACTGTTGTTTGTCTTTTTTGTTGTTATTCGGTTTTTGCCATGGCATTGTCAGTTTGTCTTCGACTTATGAATTTGAATATCTTGTTGGTATCATCCGCCTCCCTTTTGCAATAAATATACTGGATATCTTCAATTAGTTATAAATTTTATCTTTTTAATGTATGGATCTTCTCCTTTTTCTACTTAAAACATTAAATATCGTACAGTGTAAATAACAGCAAGGTGATAGACTCATTATGCATACACCTCAAAATTAAATGTTAATACTTTTATTACCTATAAAAGCTGGTGTCTTGGAATCCCTCAAGTTGAGAACCTTCAGAACGTAGCCTGTTTTGCTGAAGTCTTTAATATAGTTATTGTTTATAACAGGGTCTACGATGATATGATAGTTCCTGTCCTCAAAACTATCTAATTCCTCAAATTTCAAAACATTCATACCATACAACTTTAACGCAAAATCCCTGATACATTTGTTTGGAAGTAATGGCCTAATTTGTTGGTTTGGTTTTAACATTGTTTTTGATTCATCAGTGTCTAATTGTATTACTTGGTCTTCAGTGCGACCTTTAATATGTTGACTTTGGCGTTGTGCTCCTTCCGTCATTTTTGACTGAAAGACTGAAAATCAATTGTCAGTTATTAGCAATGAATCTTATGTATAGGTTAGATAATACTCGGTCGTGTTCATAAAACATGACCAAGTATTGTCTGACCAATTTATAAGTTAAACATATTCACAACTTCGAGTGACATTACAAAATTAGCCTCCCCTATTGTAATAATTAAATCTTTTTAAGTGTTACAAAAGTTAGTAAAAGGGATGTAAATCATATTTAATATTCATTCCAACATGTGAAATAGCAATGAGATAGTTTTGTGATAACAAAACAGGATAAATTATTCAAAAATGGATAGTTCTTCTGCTTCCGGTACAATTTAATACTTACCTATTAGCTAAAATTCCTTCATTTTAAAAAGTACACAATGTTAATATATAAATCAGCTTTTCTAAAATTGTATAATTTTTAATAATGACAAAACTTAATCAATTAATTTTAAAATTACAATCGTTTCAACATCGATTTCAGATGCTTACTTTTTAATCGATGAATGTAATGTTTTTTGATATTTTTTTTTTATTTACAGTCATTGTTTCATCATAGTAAAAAATAAAAATATTTTAAGGTCTCGTATAAAAATTAGATTAAATATTATTTTATCTAAAGTAAACTTTGCCCCTTTTCGATTTTTGATTGTTTGTTTCACCGTGTAATGCGAGCTTCAGCGAGCTATTACTCCTGTTTCGAGCCGAGTACAAATATAGCTGATATTTAAAGACACTATAAACAGTTAGGGGACGACCATTTGATATTCTGGGGGGGGGGGGGGGGGGGGGGGGGGGGCAGGAGGATTTGTTTTGGATCGGTTATTTATTTTTGTAAACTAAGAGGACAGATTATCTATTTTCTGCACTATTGAAGCAAGATTTTTCATTTTCATTAAAGCAAGGGACTGATTATTTATTTTCACAGCTATATTTATAATATTGAAAAACATACAATTTTTAAATTATTTGTTTATTATAAATAATTCATGTATAGTCGAGTCATTATGTACCATTTAATCAGAAATTAATTATTATCCTCTGCAGAAATGAATCTTCTATATTCCCCAATGCATATACATGTATTGCATTCATACACAGTATTAAAGTTTGGTTGTAACTAAGGCTCTTTTAAAAGTATTAGCAAACATGTTTCGCCGAGCGGAGCGAGGCAAAATTTTTTTTGAAGGGTTTTTGAACCACTGAAGGCCCAAGAAGCTATAGAACAAATGATGCAAAATCATGCTTTCTGGGTGTTACCCAGACCCTTTCTTAAACTGAAAATGCAAGTTCTGTTTTAATAATTTTATGACAATATTTTGGTCTCAAAAAAAAAATCACGTTATAGATTCAGTGTGAGACTTAAGTTTCTAGGAACAACATCAAAAGACAAATACATGTATGCATGATAAAGCAAAAATGTAATTCACATAGTTAAGTCTGTGGCTGCTGTGTTTTTTTAAACTCATGATCAAGTTATTAATAAAATTACTAAATTACAAAATGAATGCAACACTAACAGAATACAGAAGGGCAATCAATGAACAAAAGACAAATAAATAAGAAACATTGATCCCGAAAAATCAGGGGCTACGTCTGAGGGAGAACAGAACTTGCTTCTTGCAAGGCACTCACGGTGAACACAATATGATATGGAGATAAGCGTTTGGTTTTGAAATTTCCTACATGAGGCATTTGTCTCAATGTAGTTACGGCCCTGATTTAATAAAAGTGGGGAAAGTGTTCCTGAGACAATTAACCTCAAGTTAAATGATACCAATTTTCTGACATTTCAAGTATATTTAAATAATATTTATACTTTTATTATTAAAAGAAATGGGAAGTGTTTCCCGATTTTTTTTTGGAAAAAAGATGAATTTATGAAGAATCTGGTGCCATCTCATACTTTCGATTAGACCTGCTGAGTTATTTATTTTCAATACATTGTAAGTCAGGTAATTTATTTTCAAACTACCACAGAACAAACCATTTATTTTTGTGATTATCAAGGCTGAGTTATTTATTTTCAAAATCCTCCTGGCCCCCCCCCCCCCCCCCCCCCCAGAATATCAAATGGTCGTCCCCTTATTGTCTTTATCCTGCAATTAATTTTGTACATTGTTTTTGCTTTGAAAGACAGAAATACTCACATTTATTGCATTCATTTTCGATTTAAAATATATTAGTATTTGTTTATTTTACCTTTGAGGCCCGCGAAGTAATATTTAAAAAAAATCACACAATCAGCTGATGACCGGTACGCCGAAAAAAATCGCATAGTCAACACTAATACATATATCGCTCAAAGTTAATAATTATTTATAATAACATAACAACTAATTTAAACAGTAAAAAGAAATAACAAAACATTGTCCGATTTAAGACAAACGTGTATGATTTGTCCTACGCTTCAGAATTTCGAACTGACCGTTACAATAACTGATTATTGATATTGTTGCATGGTTGATTTTGTGTGTTACACATGTACACATTCAAGTCAGTGGGCGGGGCTTTAAAGCGATATCTGTATGGCTAGCGATATCTGTAGGGCTGTTAACGTATGATAAGACACCCAATTGTAGGATAAAGCCTGATAAGAAATTTCAGGAAGCTTTTATTTGTAGTTTCCAAAGAAAATTGATCGAAAATACATCGACTGCATGAGTTAGAATAATTTTAATATTATAAGTATTCTGTAAACAGGAAGTTGATGAACAACGAATCTGGAACCATATCATACGGTTTAGAATGATCGATGAAATGAAGCCTGATAACAACTATTTTTTACTCAACGATGAAGATGCTGTAATTGAGAGAAATTGATTCAGAAGAAATTCTCCCTAATGGGAACATTTTTAGTACCATTTATGTCTTTAATGTTTTTCTTCCGTGCTCTTTATCTTTTGCTTTCAATATGTGCTTCGTCTGTCATTTGTTACTGAAATATGAGGGGCCTGATGGGTTATTTTCGTTCTTCGTGATCGGCGCATTTTCGCTATCGTGATCCGTTTTTCTACAGATTTTTTTTTTTTATATTTTCGTGATCCGTGATCATGGAAATTTATTTTCTGTGAATCGTGATTGACAAAAAAATCAAATCGTGATGAGACCCCCCCCCCCCCCATCAGGCCCCTCAAATATGGCTTCAAATTAATAGTCAGTATCAGCTTCGAAAAAAACCAAAACTGAACTGTCAATGGGAAAATTACAACAGTAGAACCATGATTGTCTGACTGACAATTGACTGGCCAGGTCATTTTCAAATAGTCTCAGACTTTTCCTGATATAACTCCATTGCAGCCATTTTGTAGTATTTCTAAACACTGGTTCAAATTGAAGAGGCGTTTAAAGAATGATCAAGACAGATCAAGACAGCATTTTTGATCGATCATTGATTGAGCGTGTATCTCAAATTTAAATTTGAAGTTCGTTTAAAACCAAAGTGACTCTATGTTTCGTTTTCGAAATCAATTAAACTTTTGCTTGCTCTAAATATTATCCATGTCAATTTTCCAAAACCAGGCAAAAATGCAATGTTTACAAACTTCCACGCGCGACATATAAACAGCCGAAAGAAAATGAGGTGCAAGTGCAGAGAACTAATTCTAACCTTAGCTGTAATTGGCAAGACCTTTCGGAATTTTGGGTCTTCAATGCTCTTCAACTTCGTACTTTATTTTGCCTTTTTATATTTTTTTTATTCGAGCGTCACTGATTAGTCTTTTGTAGACGATAGTCTGGCGTATAAAAATTTAAGCCTGGTATCTATGATGAGTTTATCTCATTAGATTGATAATATATTATGATGTTTATTTGTTTTGTTTTTATTATTTTATTAACTTCAGTATGTAAAGAAAGCTTTCCATACCTTTTTTTATATTCCTTTTCATTACGATCTTTCTAAACTTTACTTTTATACTGATTTTTTTTTTACGATAAGACACCGACAATGTATCTTCTTGTTTCAGAAAAGAAGTATAAAATAGTTTGTTTTTATTGAAAATTGATAAACAAAATTAATATAAACAACATGGTTTTTTGTTGTTAAATAATCTAGGTTCTATCATGTCTATGTTATTGAAAAAAAAAACAGTTTCCTATTTATTAAATTGAAAACAACTGTTTGACCCGATAAAAAACCCTATCCCCCAGCGAAACAAACAAATTGTAATGTTTAAAAACGAAAACATTTTTGAAACGTTTCTGTCAAATTCCTAGTACGTTTACTCTTCTCAACACACCATATAGGGGATAATGTAATGTTTATACTCACCACGTAATATCACCACTACATGACGCTTAATTACATGCAGCCATACAATCCATACAATGTATTTTAATAAATGCAACGTTGTATATCATTGCTGAAAGTTCACATTATAATCATGTTGATAGATAAATGCGACAAGTTTAGAATTATAATGTATATAGAGAATATCATATGGCTTTTTCAATATCATACCTGTATCAACCCGAGACACCAATATAATCCCAAGAGCTCTGTAACCGTGACTGATATCGATATCATCACGGATGGTTGATACAGCATGATTGTCATTGATTGTATTACACTTACAATTTACCTGTATTTACTACTAAGTATATAATAAATTCGAATATTAAAGTTACCTGGGAAAATGTTCTACAAAATACATATTCTTACCTTTACGTTTTTAAATTCTTTCCACTGACTGACATATTCTTTGTTGTTTAGTAGTACGGAACCGTTTTCCGGCATATGAATTGTAGTAATTGACTTTTATAATGGTTTATGTATGGCACGCCTGAACCACTTTTATTAATTAATCTTAGATTATCTCAGATAATCCCGGGTTATCTCAGATAAATTAAGATTATCTCAGCTTAATTCAAATTCGAGAAAATCCTAGTTTATCTCAGAAATTACAGAAAATTCATTATGTGGAGAAAATCCCGGTTTATCTCAAAGTATTAAGAAAATCTAGGTTTTTCAGATCGATTTTCAGATAGTCCTAATTAATCTCCAGATAATTAATTTTCTCAATTTCAGATAATGAATTATCGCATTTCTCGAGAAATCTAGGTTTATCTCGGATTCTAAATATACAAAAGAACAATGTAACGAGTGTTTTAATTGGACGACAATCCGGCGTTTAACGTTTTACTTTCTCTTTGAAACCATATCACTTCCTATTATTGGGTGAACGGGGATGTGCCAAAATATTGGTCATAATTTTGCGAGATTTTATATAAAAATTAGCGTCCTTTTTCAGAGGAGGGGCGAAATTTGTTGAATCAATTATAAAAACAAGTAATATACAGAAGGGCTGATTATATACAATATACATATACTTTGTACATACATAATAAACAAATTTGGTAGCTATTTCTTTTACACAAACTGACTGTTTATTACCGACGGCTAATTTCGACATCGATAATTATTAAATTCTCATATTTTAATTCATTCAGTCGGTTTTAATTTTTTAATCGTGACAAAGTTTTGTAAAATATTTAATTTTAACTATTGCATTATTTCGTCATTTGTCAGTTAACAAAATAGATAGCACTAAAAAGAAGGCAACTAAGTAATCCAATACAAATAATGCACGATTCAATTATGGAAAAAACAATTATTTCATCATGGTTATTCTTTAGACATAATTTTCATTTTGTTTTCAAAATAATTAAATACATAAGAGTTTATATGCCACGAACCTTAAAGCGCCAGTTATTAATTGTAGGATGTACATTGTCTGAATACAAAATGTGTGTGTACTCGCTAACACGGGTGTCATTCGGTTTATCGAGAGAAATGATCGTGAAAGAATATCTAACGGAGGTCAAGTATTGCGAGACGATCGTGAAAGCTCTGGTACCGGATCGTGAAAGAAATTTAATCGAGAAGACATATGAAAAGTCATTAAATAATCTAATTTAATTAATTACACGGACAAATTTACAACAAAATAAAACTGTCTGTCAAAATGGTTGAACATTATGATCAGTATGTGAGAAAATCCAGTTCTAAAAGTACATAGTTTAATTTAGAAAACAACAAAAGGCATATTGCTCCTCGACATTTCAGTGACATCAAAAATGTAAACAAACATGATTTTTTTTCACAAATTCCAATAAAATAAACTATTGTTCTTCGAAAAAGGGCATTCTATTTGAATGCATCAAATGGTTCTCATAGTTATTTTGTATAATAAAACATAATCTGAAACTTGGTAGAAAAAGAAATATTTACACAAAATTGATATTTCGGATCGTGAAAGATCACGTACCGGTTTTTGAAGATCGTGAAAAGGATCGTGAAAGATCTAATGCTACGAAGACGTTCATACTATTCTTCAATTATATGATAATTAATATTTGTTATTGGTATTAAAAAAAAACTAGATTGGCATGACTGACCCGGGTCTCTTTTGCTGGTGAATAGGGCTATAATCATGCAATGCCATTGGATCTAATATCTTATAATACCACACAGACATGGTAAATTGTATCAATACCAGTCCATTTGTCCGTCCTTCATAAGTATTGTTTTTTTATACATTAAGATGTTTTATTTTGTATTTATAACTTTGAATTCTCATTTTATGCCTAATATTATTTATAAAGCTTACATACCTGTATGCTATAGGGCCACGGTATTTGGTGTATGGTGTACATGTCTGTATGCATGTTTCATATATGACGTCAATTGTATTTGATATATTGAATGATAGTAAGATGTCTGTGTCTGACTGTCGGTCAGGGTTCATATACTTTCGACCTCATGTTCCGAATTAATTGGCCAAACATAACTTTTACATTTGTCAGTTTCTAAGGTACTGTAAGCATCGGACTCCTATATTTGGTGTGCGGGATTTTTGTAGAGATCTGTATGTCATGGTTCATCTGACCTTGACCTCTTTTTATAAATCATTGACAATTTTAAGAGTATGTGACACTTCTAGTAAAACCCTTAATATTACAGAAGTTCAACAAATATACTATCATAAGTAAAGCAGACGAGACATTTCAGCATTTGCGCTCTGGTATTCTTTATTCTGTAATATATAGTTATCTCATTGGAAATCAATCCACATCTGCTACGTTGTATACAAAGATACATATAACAAAATGTTGGTTATCGTTCAATCTAAAAATTTTCATGAAAGATGCTGTTTTTGCTATAAGTTTTTGGTTGATGGTTAACTTTTTGGTTTAAACGTTGCATACCCATAGTATTGACTAAATAATGGCGGTCTGCTTGATTTGTACTAGTCCGATTCTCAGAGCTGAATTTTTCACACTGATTTAGATACGTTTTAAGTTAATTTTTTTTTAACTTTAGAGGTAAAGTGTTGAATTTAAAAAACAAATGATAGCTTTCATGTTCTTTCTTATCAAAAAAGTTACAGGCTTCAACCAGTTGCAGGTATATCAAATGGTAAAAGAAATATTGATTTCTGATTATAAAGTCTGGTCACGCATTATCTTTCACGATCAAAATAATGCGTTGCCTGATTTATCACGATCAAGTTTGATGAAAAATCAACAAAATTCAAGGTTTTCATAAACAAATGAACGATTTTAAGGGAAGAGCATACTTTTATTATACTGTACTTTTGGACACAACAAAGATTAAATTTCAAATATATCATGATATATTGCAACATGACCATTATAGGTACAAAAAAAGTGTTTTTTAATTAATCCCATAGACATGCATTGTGCCTTTTGTGTTTTTGTCATAAAGTACTGCATTTTTTCTTTATCTTATTGCACAGTAATGTTGAGGAAGTTGAATCATTTTGACAGACATATTTTTTGTTCGGATTTGTTCCGCATTTTGAAAATTCAGCGATTTTTTCACACATTCTGAAGTAGAATTTACATTTAATTACATTCACGATTCGGTACCAGAGCTTTCACGATCGTCTCGCAATACTTGACCACCGTAAGATATTCTTTCACTATCATTTCTCTCGATAAACCGAATGACACCCGTGGCTAAGAAACAGGAGAAAACCTCTTCGTTCTGTTTCTAAATCTTGAACCAAAACGTTTTATTCTTACAGGTAAATGTAATTACAGGTGACAAGATTGTCAAAGCTCTACCTGTTATAGTGCTAATATATAACAACTGCCCCCATTAAATGTTCACATAACAGGAATAAAATAGTAAAAAGTAATAAAAGTTTGTTTAAGACTGTTCAAAACAATATTTTAATTCATGCACGAAAAAGAAATTTTGAAAGATTTATATTCTTATGGTTTCTGTTCAATCTTTTTCTCTTTTATAATCTTTATAAATTTACAAAGTTTAATCAGTTCTGATTTGTGTTTTGAAGACATAATCTGCTTGTATTTAACAGTATTTGCATTTTTGAAATAATAATGTGACATACAATGTTTCCTGTTTCTCTTCAACAAGACATAAAAGCACAATCCAGTGATAAAAAAACTGTCTCTTTGATTATATTTAAGGAAGGACTTATCTTTTTAGACAATCAGATGGATTTTTGTCGAGCCTGCGACTTTTGTCGCAGAAAGTTCGACATATGGGGAAAGGGGGTGGGTGGGTGGGGGGGGGGGGCGTTAGGTAACTTCTTAAATGCTTTATATTTTAGAAGGTGGAAGACCTGGATGCTTCAAACTTTGTATATAGATGCCTCATGTTACGAAGTTTCCGTCTGTAACATGTCCATTGTCTTTTACCTCATTTTCATGGTTCAGTGACTACTTGAAAAAAAAGTTAAGATTTTTTGTAATGATAATTTCTCTCTTATTATGAGTAACATGATAACTATGTTTTGTATTTGCGTACCTTGCAAGGTCCTCATGTCCGTCAGGCAGTTTTCACTTGACCTCGACCTCATTTCATGGATCAGTGAACAAGGTTAAGTTTTGGTGGTCAAGTCTATATCTCAGATACAATAAGCAATAGGTCAAGTATATTCGGTATATGGAAGGACTGTAAGGTGTACATGTCCAACTGGAAGTATTTGCATTCTAATATGTAATGAAATTCATCACCAATGTTATTTTTATTACATAGAAGACACAATCTATTATTTCTAACTATATCATTCCATCTACCCTGTTCAATAGGGAGCTTGTGCTTTGTGGTCCTAAATCTACAAAAATCAATAGACAGTTTGTTCCCAAGAATTTCATAATAATCTTCTTTTCCAAAAACATCTTTAAATAGTTTATAATTAAGTGCTTTTGGTGAGTTTTCAAGCAAAGAATGCCAGACTTGTACAAACTGATCTTTAAGTCTGGGCTTGATGAATGAAACTAACCATTTACAATTCATAAAAGATTGCATTTCCCACACATTGGGGATACCACATTCATTTAAAATAGTCTTTTACTCTGTTTAACCATGAAAAATGCACATTGTCATTAATAGACATGTGATAACACAATTCATATAAAGTATATGATAGTTTTGTCTCTTTACCAGCATTTAATTTCCCCCAAAATGAGATCAATCTAGTTTTTATATCCAAGTCTATAGGATATCTTCCAAGCTCCCCATAAATCATGTAAGAGGGTGTTGATGTTTTCAGACCTAATAATGATTTACAAAATTTTAGTTGTACCCTTTCAATTATCTCATTATTTCCAATACATTGTACCCCATAATTCACAACCGTACAGTAATATTGATTTTACCATTTTATCAAATAAGTCCAACTGACTACATATAGAAAGATTATGTAGACGACCTAGTCTTAACACTTCGTAAAAAGCCTTAGTAGCCTTTTCTACATTAAATTGCTTCGTTTTATTAAAATTACCTGTTCTTAGAATTATGCCCAAATAGTTAAATTCATCAACGATATCCAGTTTTTTTTCATTAAAGAAAAATTGAAAATTACATGATGGTCTTCTCCTTGAAAAAACCACGACCTTTGTTTTATCAACATTTACTTTTAGCCTCCATACATCTGTGTAATCTAGAAAACAATCTAATAGTTTTTGGAGTTCAGTTGCGGATTCGGCCATCAACACAGTATCATCAGCATACAGAATAATAAAAAGTTTTAAAAATATGTCAAGTTTTTCTTCAAGCTCTTTTGAGACTGATTTTAGGCCCTCTATATTACAAGTTTGGAAAAATGAATCAAGATCATTCAAAAATAGAGAAAAAAGAAAAGGCGATAAA